GCGGAGCCGCGCGGGAGTCATCCGGGCGGCTCTCGGCCGGGGCTCACCCGGCACCGCCGGGAAAGGTGCGGGACGCCTCGGCACGGTGCGCGCCGGGTCTGCGCCTGGCCCCGGCCAGAGTCCCCACCGGCACCCTGCTAACTAGGGAGGAGGAAGGTTTTTTGGGTCATTTCTGAAGGCTTTTTCCATTTAGCATTTTAAATGCAAAACTCTTATTTGTAACAGGATACTGCTGCTATATAGGACCACCCCACAAGCAAGACTAACAGCTGTTGAAGTTGGAGCACAAGGGAAAAGCTTCCTCTGAGCCCCTTGGATGTCACCTCTCTGCGTTTTCAGGCACATACCTCCTTGCTTTAGGGAGAAAGCCCCCATTCCCCCTTACCACCAGGTGTTTAATGGAGGTCCCACACCTCCAAAGGAGGTCTGACATGGGTAGGCAGAGCCCCCTGCGACAGCCCAGCCTCGACAAGCTTTCCACCAGGCTCCCCTTAAATAAACTACGGCAGTTTTGGGAGCTGGCGCCCCCAGCCCCTTGCTGAACCAGTACCCTTCCCAAGGGACGTTACTTACTTCAGACTGACCGGGTCCCACGCACCAATCCAGGACACGCTCCTCTTTCACACTAAAAGCTATTTACAGGGGAAATGATGTTCTGCAAGTCTAAAGAAACAGAAACAGTGATTTATACCAAAACAGGGACCATTCCCACAGCTCAGGCTCCCCACATGCTCCCTCATAGCTGTTCCCCAGCAGCTAATCCTCCTTTTATACCCACCCTCCCCTCAGACGACCTGATGGGGGGCACCTGGCCCTTACCTGGCCTTAATATCCCCCCCCTTCAGGACCCGGCTCAAGTGCCTGGCTGCTGATGCATAACTCTCTAAGCTAGTACCTGCTCCGAGTGTTTGGGGCTAGGTAGCCCTCCAGGCAAGGTTATTTCAAGGTTATGGTGAGAAATCCTGGGTGCGCTCGGAGGAAGGGCAGAGCTCCTCTTACATTGCATGAGGGGAAACTGAGGCCGGGCAAGGCACCGGCTTCCCCCCGCGAGGCCGCCCCGCTCTCGCTGGCACCAGCGATGGGGGACGGCCAAGGGCGAGCGCCTCGGTCAGGCCCT